CATCCACATGGGAGATCTGGATGGAGTCTCTGACTTCTGACTTTGGCCTAGCCCAGCCTCAGCTGTTGTGGGCATTTTGGGAATGAACCAGTGAATGGAAGCTCACTGTCTCTGTCTCTCTCTCTGTTGCTCTTTCAAATAAATTTTTAAAAGTAAATAATAACCAAAAGGAAGAGGAAATATGCTGCTGAATTTCTAAAGATTTTGGCAATCTTCCAGGTATCTTATTACTGATTTCTTATTTAATATTCAGTATGTTTCGAATTTTTAAAATAGCATATGATTAGTTCTTAAAATTTTTATTTGGGAGGCAGAGAGAGATGGAGAGAGAGTGTGCTTCCATCTGTTGGTTCATTCCAAACACTCGGAACAGTTGGAGCTCAACTAGGTCAGAAGCTGCAAGTGGAGAACACAGTCTAGGTCTCCAGGGTGGATGACAGAATTGCAACTACTTTAACCCAAGTACTCCAGTGTGAGACATGGATGTCATAACTACTAGGCTAAATGCTTTTCCCTCTAATGTATAATGTATAATGTGTCATGTGCCCTTGAACAGTTTAATTTGCTGATGTTGGAAATAGTGATCTTTAAATGTCTGTTTGGGCATATCCACAAGCAAAAGAATGAAGTTGTACCCTCTTACCATGTTCAAAAATTAACTCAAGATGGATGAGAACCTAAAGAGAAGGAGTGAAACTAGAACTTTAAGGAAAGCATCGCTGTAGATCTCCATGAGCCTGGATTAGGAAATGGTATCTTAGGCAGTGCCACCAAGAGCATAAATAATGAAAGGGCAAAATTGATAAAAAGGACTTCATGACAATTAAAAATGCAGCATCAGGAAAAGTAAAAGACAAACACCAGGATAGGAAAAAATATTTGCAAACTATATATCTGATAAGGGACATGTGTCTAGAGTATATAAGAACACTTACAACTCAATAGTAGAAAGATAACTAGGTTATAAAATGTGCCAAAGATTCTAAGTACACATTTCTCAAAGAAGGTATGCAAGTGGCCAATAAGCACATGAAAAGATGTTCAGACCATTGCCCATAAGGAAAATACAAATAAAGACCCCAGTGAGATACTAATTTGTATCCGACTATAGAATTACTGTAATTAAACATAAAAAAAACATCTGTACAAGTGTCCTGATTGTGAAAAAATCAAAACTCTTATATACTGCTGATGGTTATGTAAAATGGTACAGCTGCTCTGGAAACCAGTGTAGAATTCCTTACATGATTGGATGTAGAGTTATTGCATGACCCAGTCATTTCACTCCTAGGTATATACCTAAATGATGTGTTCACAAATGTTCACAGCAGAATTATCCAGATAGCCAAAAAGTGGGAGCAACCCAAATGCCCATCAGCTGAGGAATGGATAAATCAGCTATGATCTCTGCATGTAATAGAATCTTGGCAGTGAAGGGAATGAAGTGCTAACCTGTACTACAAGACAGGTGAGCCTTAAAAGCATCATTCTGAGTGAAGAAAGCCATTCACACAAGAGCACATTTAAAAGCTTCATTTGTATGAAGTGTGCAGAATTGACAAATCTGTAGAGACAAAGTAGATAAGGGTTGCTAAGGGTTGGGGATGGTGCTGCTAGGGGTGTGGAGGGTGACGACTAAAAGGTGTGGGATGATGAAAATGTTCTAAAACTGATTGCAGTGGCTGCGCAAGTCTATGAACATACTAAAAGCTGTTGAAGTGTATGCATACTTTAAATGGATAAGTTGTATGATGTGTGAATTATATCTCCATGAGGCTATTACAGAATAAACAAGGGAACTAAAAGCACTGACAACTCAGGATTGAAGCCCTTTAAAAAGGCATTTAAAGACGTGACTTTTGAAAAAGAGATGCTCGGGTGGAATGAAGCGATTGGAATCATTCAAGTCACTAGGCAAGTCAGCATAGAAGAGCTTAGCGTGCTGACAGAATGTTTTTTGAACATAGTTTTCAAATGACTGTGATGTTAACAGGAGAATGAAGTTTAAGTTTAGTGTCTGCCTAATCAAAAAACAAAACAAAGGTGAGGTCTAGTTGATTGACAGTGCCATCATATCCTATTCTTACTGATTTGTTTCTTCTCTTTTGGCAGTTTTTGCTTCAGATATTTTAGAGTTCTATGCTTAGTTGCTAGACACTTAGGATTATTATGTCTTCCAATGAACCAGGCCCTCTTATCAGTATGAAACAACCCTGTTTGTATTTGGTTGTACAACTTGCCCTGAAATCTGCATTTGTCAGACATTAATTTAGCTATAGCAACTTTCTTAAACTTAAGGTGTCATGTATGCATTTTATATCATTTCCCCATTATGAATTCCAGTGTTTCCAGTGATTATTGAAACAAGTTGAACTTTTTTTTTTCTGATTGATTTATTTGAAAGGCGGGATTGCAGAGAAGGAAAGGAGTCTTCCATCTGCTGGTTCACTCCCCAAATGGCTGCAATGGCCAGAGCTAGGCCAATCTGAAGCCAGAAGCCTGGAGCTTCTTCAGGGCCTCCCACGTGGGTACAGGGACTCAAGGACTTGGGCCATCTTCTGCTGCTTTCCCAGGCCATAGCAGAAAGCTGGATGGAAGTGGAGCAGCCAGGACTCGAACTGGTGTCCATATGGGATGCTGGCACTGCAGGTGGTGGCTTTACCCACTATGCCATAATGCCAGCCCCGATCTTGTTTTATTTATTCTATCGACTTTATACAGAAATATTTATTTTTTTAATCACCTGAGCATTTTAAAGAGAATCCCTGGTACTATGACTCATTTTATGTGTATATTGTTCTCCAAATAGGAAAAATTTAACAAAATTACTAGGCCATCATTATATTTAACAAGCCTGATTATTTCATAATCTTTCAAATGTTTTTTGTGCTCTGTTTCCTTGACTACCTGTAAGTACTTGGGAAAATTAAGATATTTTTATGTCATCGAAATAATATTGTGCTGATTTCTGAAATTTTCATGTTTCATTATTTTTTTATATTGTGTTCAGTAATTCTCTAGGTATATCTATAGGCTATATGATGATCTATGAAAAAATTATTTTGGAACTGTATACATTTGATAAACACTGTGTCCTTGATCCCCTTAACCCATTAAGTCCCAAATTTTCAATTCTGCGAATATTTCAATAACATACTTAATTCAAAGTTACTATGAGTGGTATATTTATGGTTCAGTTGTCTTGATAGGGTTGATAGGATGATGGACCACAATGGGTTAAAGTAATTTGCATTGCCATTTATGATAAAGTTCTGAAAGGTTTGGCAGTAGTTACCTTGATTTAACCAAAAATTGTCTAAATTTATTTGACCACACTGTCTGTCTGTTTTTTATATAATATCTGTTAGCCAAAATACATTTGGGAAATGTTGTTCTAGGCTGGTGAATGCAGCCTCTGTGTAGCAAAATAGAAATACTTCATTTTTATTTCAGTTAATTAAATAATTATCTGTCCATATGGCATTAGCATCATTATCAAATAATACCTATTTTTATTTTCAAATAATCTGCTTAATGTTGGTAGTGTAGTGAAACAGGTCATCTTCCTCAGAACCTTATATTTTGAAAATACTTCATCATGTAGTATAAGCAAATTAAATATAAGCATATTGTTTTTCCATAAGAAAGATAATTGCTCAAGAAAAATAGCTATTCATCAGAATCCCTCTGTAAGGAAAGATAAATCATTAATATTGCACTAAAAGGGAATCTAGAAATTAGATGTGTAGAAATCAAGGAAATATATAGCCCAGAAGAGAAGAATGAACAATTAGGTTGTGTCTTATTTGTGCACAATTGGCTAAATGTGGCTTTTAAAGCCTTTACAATGATGACATTTGTGGACATAGTTACACATGGTTTGCATTTCTGTGTCTTCTTAAAATATGTTCATTTTACAAACAGATAGGAACAGTTAACATAATTTAGCGGAGGCTGCTTGCCCCAACCAAGGAAATGATTTTCCATTCTGTGCCTCTCTTCTGCTCACCCTGTGACATGGGAGTGACAAAGGAGCCCCTAGGCCCTGGTGCGCTAGCAGATCTGCATCTTACCCTCTAGTACAGTTCAGTAGACATCTGCCCCCAGCCTTTGTCCCCATAACCACAACAGTCCTCCAGAATGGATTAGCTGGTTGCCCGGGCATCTCTGGTCTTTACCCAAATGTACTTCCAAAAGCTTGTGGAAATTTGAATGAAAAGATAAGTTTATTTTTGTTCAGAATATTTTGAAATCTGTGCATCATTTTTTCTCCACAATATCCATGAACTTTAAAAGCAATTATTTGAGGGGCTGGTGCTGTAGTAGGCTAAGCCTCTGCCTGCTGTGCCGGCATCTCATATGGACACCAGTTCATGTCCCGGCTGCTCCTTTTCTGATCCAGCTCGCTGCTATGGCCTGTGGAAGTAGTAGAAGGTGGCCCAAGTCCTCGGGCCCCTGCACCCTGTTGGGAGACCCAGAAGAAGATCCTGGTTTCGGATTAGCTCAGCTTCAGCCACTTTGGCCATTTGGAGAGTGAACCAGTGATGGAAGACCTTTATCTCTGTTTCTCCCTCTCTCTCTCTAACTCTGCCTCTCAAATAAATAAATAAAATATTTTAAAAATTTAAATAAAAAAATTGTTTATGTGACAGAGAAAAACACAGAGCCCTCATTTTCTGATTCATTCCCCAAAGGCCAGCAACTGAATCTGGGCCCCAGGAACCCAGTTCAAGTCTCCCACATGGGGGCAGGACCCAACTACTTATGTCATCACCTCGTGGCACACTCACAGAAAGTTGGGATCGGTAGTGGGACTGGAACTTGAACCCAGTCACTCTGATAGGAGATGTGGTCCATAATGCCTGCCCCTAAGAACTTACTGCTAGAATGAACCCCTGCCCTCATGAACCTTTTAAAGACTTGTTGGGTTGCATAAACACTGTGGAGATGGCTCTTTTCTCTGTGGGACTACAGAGGTAATTTTTCTCCTTTACTTACAGTCAAATTACAACTTCAAGCAGAAGAGAGAGGAGTTGTATCCATCAAAGGTGTGTGTGCAAACCGTTACCTTGCTATGAAGGAAGATGGAAGACTGCTGGCTTCTGTAAGTAATGCTGTCTTTTTTTGTAGTTTTTTTCTGTTAGCTTTTATTACTGCACTGACATTTATTAAATCTTTGTTAAGGATTTTTACATGTGCTATATTATTTAATCTTCCTGTTCAGCCTATAAAATAGAAAAGTATTCTCGTTGCTTCACAGATGAAAAACTAAACTCTTGAGAGAGTAAAGTAACCAAGAAAACAGTTTACGGGCTGGCTCTGTGGCGTAGCAGGTTGAGCCTCTGCCTGCAGCGCCAGCATCCCACTGGTTCAAGTCTTGGCTGTTCCACTTCTGCTGCTTCAAGTCTTCTTGGCTGTTCTACTTCTGACCCAGTTCCTTGCTAATAACCTGGGAAAGTGGTGGAAGATGGCCCAAGTATTTGGGCACACATGTGGGAGACCTGGAAGAAACTCTGGGCTCCTGGCCTTACCCTGGTCTAGCCCTGGCCATTGCAGAGTGACAGAAGGAGAGAGAGATTTTCCATCTGCTGGTTCAGTCCATAAATTTAGGGAGATTATCAGTTGAGAATGGGTTTTTAACTTGGTTACAAATGCTAGCTTTGTCATTTATTAGGTTTGTGTTCTTAGGCAAATTATTCTGAGTTGGTTTTCTTACTTTTTTTTTTTAATGTTTTGTCACAGCTGTTCGGGAGTCCTATTTTCTCTCTACTAGTGCACACATCCTGCCAGCTTTACCTTTATTATCATAAACAGGATTGCATACCTCCTCAGCATACACAAAGCATAGAAATTGGCATGGAAAATAAAGAGGAATGAAAAATGCAGTTCCTATTTCTGTCTCCTAAGGAGAGAGAAGTGTGTGTGGGGTGTGCAGGCATGTGTGCATACCATAGCCGTTATACCAAAGCCTGGGACCCATTCTAGTCTCTAACTCCTCCCACAAAAGGGATATAATAGTGGAGAGAAACTGTGGTGTTTTGAGCTATATAGTTTCTGAATGAAGGCTTTTGGATTTCTGAAGATGCTGAAACAAACAAAAAAGGCATATATCAGCAATCTTAATTTCAGATTGATTATCTGACAAGGATATGTTTATGTTGACATTATCAGTTGATGCTATTTTTGCAAGATAAATAACAAGTTGGTGTAGTGACTCTCAATTTTTGTTCTTGGCATTGAATCAATTTCAGAATCTTGAAGAATTGCCTGTGGGGCTAGCATTATGTCATGGCTGGTTAAGCTGTCGTCGACATCCTATATGGGTACCTGTTTGTTTCCTGGCTGCTCCACTTCCTATCCAGCTCCCTGCCAATGGCCTGGGAAAAGCAGTGAAAGATAGTCAAAGTATTTGGGTCCCTGCCACCCACATGGGAGACCTGGAGGGAGTTCCAGCCTCCTGGCTTCAGGCTGGCCCATTCCTGGCCATTATGGCCATTTAGGGAGTGAATCAGTGGTTGGAAAATTGGTCTCTTTATTTCTCTTTGTCAGTCTCTCCCTCTCTCTCAGTAACTCTAACTTTAAAATAAATAAATAAATTTTTTGAAAAAAAAAAAGCCAATAATTAGATTTATACAACTGAATATCAGATGGTCTCTGCTGTTAATGAGTCACAATGGGGAAGCAGAATAGTATATATCAGTTTTTGTAATCATGTTAAGGTTTTGAGAAATTACTTTTTCTTTTTTTAAAAAAATATTTATTTGGAAGGCAGAGTTACAGAGAGGCCGAGGTGTGGGGGGTGGGGGAGAGAGAAGTCTTCCATCTTCTGGTTCACTCCCTAAATGGCCACAATGACTGGAGCTGGGCTGGTCCAAAGCCAGGAGCTTCTTTGGGTCTCTCATGCAGGTACAGGGGCCCAAAGACTTGGGCCATCTTCCACTGCTTTCCCAGGCCATAGCAGAGAGCTGGATTGGAAGTAGAGCAGCCAGAATTTGACCCAGTACCTGGATGGGATGCCGGCGCTGCAGGTGGTGGCTTTTACCCACTCTGTCATAGCTCTGGCCCTGAGAAATTACTTTTCAATTTTGCATGTATGTGTAGCAATAAGAAGTGCTGTGATGTCTGAAAGGAAGTGATTAAACTTACCTAGAATTGAGGAAGATGTTATATAAATAGGATTTTAAACTTTTTTTTTTTTATTTGAAAGGCAGACAACCTTTCATTTGCTGATTCACTCTCTAAATGCCCACAACACCCAGAGCTGGGCCAGGCTGATGCCAGGAACCCGGAACTCCATTCGGGTCTCCCATGCAGGTGGCACAGACAAGTCACCATCGCTACTGCCTCCCAGGCTGCGAATTAGCAGGAAGCTGGAACCAAGAGCCAACACTTAAACCTAGGCACTCCAATATGGGGGTGCAGCCATACCAAGTGTCATCTTAAATATTTGTTTATTTGCTTATTTGATAGGCTGTGTGACAGAGAGAGAGAGAGCCAGAGATCTTCCATCCACTGGTTCACCTCCCAGATGGCTGCAATTTTAGGTCCTGAAGAGGAAGCAGTTCACCTGGTAGTTAGGGAGTATAAGGAGTAAGAATGAAGGAATGGATAATTCTAGACATAACACATGCAAAGGCCTAGATACAGAAAACTGCCTGGGGTTACATTCAGATGATGAGAACCTGGCGATGACAATAGGACAGAGAGCACTGCATGAAGTGCTAGCACCTGCGGTTGATTAGATTTAGGAGTGAAGTCGAGGCAGGCAGCAAAGATGGCTCCTAGGTTTCTGGTTTTGATGAGAAGGTAGAAAAAGGGGAAGGAGGAGAAGAGCATGTTTTAGGGAAGATGGAAAGTTTAAATTTGGATGCATTTAGTTTGAGTTGGCTAAGGGAAAGCCAGGTGAAGGTGGTTACTAGGTAGTTGGGATTGTAAATCTGGGGTTTGAAGAAGAGATCTGTGTTGCTTTACGATGTGGGTGTCATCAGTCTGTAGGCATTAGTTAATCAGCGGGATGGATGAATTTTCCTAGGTAAAAAATGTAGGTCTAAAAGACTGACAACATGAGACTTTCACTTCGACTCTGTTGCCCTTTCTAGCAGTGTGTTGTCATATCCAGAAGTGATGTAAAATGTTGGGAATCGTACTAGAGCAATATTTTAAATATTTCCTAGAACAGTTAACCAAGAAAAAATTTTGGATGACCTTGATAACTGTGGTGGAATGAACAAGAAGGGTTTCCAACCTTACCGTTTTTACCTTAGAAAATGACAAAACACTGTGGCTTCTGGTGTTTGTTTCACTACCAACAGAGGGAGTGGTAGAGAAAAGAAAAAAGATACATGCAACGTTTGCATCTATTACAACTACCTCTGGACAATACCAGTAAAAAGGTCAGAAAGCCACAGACTTTTCTACATCTGACTTCATCTGGCTCATTGAGTGCCTTGAGATTAATGATTACTCTGGTTTTATAGTTACTGAGAGGAGAAGATCCAGTGACCTAGTAATCATAGTGACCTGGGATGATAGTCTTCAGATGGGTTGTTAGCTCCAGAACATAGGCTGGAATATCAGTATTACCATAGTGATAAAAAGGCTCAGAACTGTCAAAAGTGATAGAAGCAGAAGCCATTCTACATTGAAGTGCATCTGTGAAACAACTGGGGGACATATACAAGAAGACAAGTTAAAGAACTGTAGACCTGAAAACTGAACCGTTGTCTCATTCTTACAGAATTCTGTGCAAGTTAGAATTCAGAGTTGACTTTTTTCTGCAAATAGGCATTGAGCTTCCTAAACTGTTGAATCTGTACCATCAGAAGCATAATGTGCTCAAAAATAGTGTTTTCTAGTTTATTCTTTAGTCCCAAAGGAATTTCCATAAGATTATGGTCATAGCATTTTATTTAGTCCACCATGTATTTCTGTCTTTGTGGGTATGTGTTAACTTTCCTGAGGCAATAGATTCCCACCAGGTTGATGCAATCTGAATTAATTTAACAGTGCATAGAAACTTATCACAAACTCTCTGTAGGGACAAAGCCTCAGCTGTTAAACATAAATTGAAAATTCAGGATTTATCTGTCTCCTTTATGGAATAGGACCAGCCAAAATCCAGTTGTTGTAACTGCTTATTACGTATGTTCCAGCTCCCATCATAGAGCCTACTCTTGCCAAGTTCCCGAATTAATCCCTAGTTGTACAATCCAATTTGTGTGGCTTGCTGCCATGCCTTTTCAGCAGCAGTCTCATCGGTTTTAAACTGGTGTGGAGGGGCTGTGTCAGTCCTCAGATGACGAAGGAATCATCAATTAATGCTTAAAGGGGTGGGCTAGGTGTTGCACTAAGTCGCATATTTCTCTCTGAGTCAGATCCATACACGGGGATCTGTTAACAATAACTTCTGGTGTCAGTCCAGTATTCTGATCTGGGGCTGCGTTTGGGACTGCAGATGTGCCTTGTAACCCCGGGGAAACTGGGCTTTATGAATTTGCACTTGCCAAAGTCATAAAACCTCCCATTCTTTTTCCACTTGGCCCCATTTCAGACTGCTTTGTTAATGGCATGTCCCTGGGTGCTTTTGCATTTTAATCTGTGTGTGATTTCTGCAGTGATTTGAAAACATGCCAATTTCCTCTTAGAATACTCTAGATAAATAAAATATTTTGTTTCTAAGAGTCATGTTAGGTTGATTATTACCAGAGTATGAGAAAAGACTAATCTGTGTACCAATATTTTTCTGGCAACACTTTCATTATTAATGTCATGAATGCTTTCAGGTTAGAGACTTCTTGTTGTTGAAAACGTTTCTTAAATGTCTTTTCTCTCCTGTCAAAGCTAGTAAATGTGAAAGTTCAAACAGTAGCTATATTTAATTACCAAAGCCTATCTATGGAGGTTGAAATTGAATAGTTCTTTAATACACAACATATTCCTTACTCAGTTCCATAGCAGGATAAGTTTTGTTGCTATGAGCAACAGAAGCCCAGAACAAATATTAGGATTTATGATTTCTTAAGTACTCTTAAGGTTGTAGATTTTTTAAAAAACTTGCATAAAATGAATTTAATTGTGGTTTTAAATTTAAGTCACCAAACTCAG